CGGGGAGGGATAAATTAAGAGCGGATCCTTTTTATTTCCAGGCTTCGGACCCCTTGAATGAAGGACAAGCCTGCAAGCATCACAGCTTCATACTTATCTCCACCAAAATCTACTGCCCTGCCCACAAAACTCCCCTGGGAACCAGTGTCTTTTGGTCCCTTCCCTGTGTCCCCTGAGGTGAGCACTCCTCCAGTGACGACTCTTCCTGTGTCCGGCCCTCCCTAGGACTCTGGGGGAGTAGGTGGGGAGCTTCGTTAAGGAAACACTCCCACCAGAGAACTTCCATCCCGGACCACCTGGCTTCCGCAGTTTCAAGCCTTGTCCTTTCTCTGCCTAATTGACCTCCTTTATTCTCAACTTCTGGTCCCCTCTCCCATTATGGCTGCCTGCCCTCTGAATTAGATGCAAACATTGATTTCTTCCAATCTCTTATCTCAGCTGGGTTTCCCGCATGCTGATTTCCTCTCTCTTCCATTAATTTGTGATTCTTTGAACAGCTTTCCTGGTAACATCCCTGCCTACTCTTCCAGACTCCTGGTCCCCTCTCCTGGCAAATAACCGCTCCTAGTCTGCACTGGAAACAAGAACCAAGACTGCATCTGAACATCGATGCCCCCAGGCTCTGAGCCCCGAAGAGAAGCACTTTCTCAACTTAACAAGTGGGGCTCTAAAAGATCTAGTCCCATAGCTCCAGACAGAGAACCAGGTTAGGGAGTCTCTTATCCATTCATTCGTTCCATACGTATGGATGGAACTTTTATTAGGCACTAGGCAAATTTGCCTCTGTGGAGGCTCTCATCTCGTATACAAGAAGCTCAGTAGAGGGCACTCCTGTATTATAATAGCTAAGCACAGGGGACAGTGCACCTGAACCCAAGGATCCCATCAGAAAATAATCACACACACTCCGTGCCTGTGGACACACACACACCCGTGTTCTGAGATTTACCCTTATCCACACTCAACTTTGCATCTTATGTCATCGACCTTCCTAAAGCAAAGATAGTAATGACGGAATATATTGCTCTCTTTGCTGGATCCACTCAAAAGTTATTTTGATTGGTGGCACACTTGATTTCTAAGCCCTTCAAGGAAAAAAACAGAACATTTTAGGATACAATTTCAAAATCACTGCCAGTGACCGCATTCTGTTTACTTGAACTGAGTTCTTTTCTGGGTGTAGAGTCATCTCGATGCAGAAGAGAAGGGACAGGAAATAACGCTGTTGCTGGACGTGAAATTCATCTCAGGCAAGACACAGGTACATGTTATTCTTTGAGAAATGTCTTATTCCGATTAATTAAAATGAAGAAAGTAGCACACTGCAGCCAGTATTTTCCACTCCATGGAATACTTGCCGATTGGTCGACGGTTGAGACTCAAACTACTGTGTCCATTATAAAACTGTTTTTTTTCCGTTGTTGTTGTTGTTTTGCAGGTATCACAGGTAACCTCTATAGGGCACTTACCGTGTGCCAGGCACCGCGCCAAACACTTGACGTGTATTATTTCATTTCGTCTTCACAAACTCCACCTGTGTTAGATACATTTTAGAGATGGGGAGCTCGCGAAATGGTAACCTAGGTATTGCCACGTGGCTAGAATGTGGTGGGAAACGTATAGCCCCCCATCCAGTCTGTCCACACAGCCCAGACCGTTAGCGGTGACACTTCTGTTCATGGCTCGAAGTGGGCCTTGCATTTCTGACGTCTTGGTAAACATTACTTTCCTTTTCATAATTCCGGGGGTTCTCAATTGAAAGTCATACTGGAAGGAAAGGTGACTCAGCTAAATGACATTTTTACATGTTAGAAGTTATATTATCCACTGTAAATTCAACTCGTCACCTGGTGAGTGAAATTAGACTGTAGCACGGTTGCTATTCGATTATGGTGAGTTGCTGTTTAATGGCCCTGTTCTCGAAGGCTCCATTAATGTCTATTAATCTGCTTTTGCTACTGGACAACAGACAGCCCTTTATTACTAAACCCCATCACAGGGGGTGCAAAGTGTGGTGCTGCAGTCCCACCCGGCAGGAATTAGTTCAGCACCAGGGCAACACATCGCAGGTTTTACTAAAATATTGCCCTCCTACCATCCTTAAAATAAAAGCAAGACCTGACAGGGGATAGATGCAAATAAGAGAAAGGCATCCTACAGTAAGATCGTCTGTGGGAGCCAGATCAAGAGGGTTCCAGTCTGGTCTATCTTCTTCCAGATGCCCAGGTCCCAGGTTACTAATCTAAGGCCCATCTCGGGCTGGCACCCAGCCTAGGTCCTGTCTAGCACAGAGGAAGGAGAGAAGAAACAGTCTCATGAGCAGGTGGCCATCTATGGGACAGGCCTTGAAGAGAGCCAGAAAAATCACTCCAAAAACACAAAATCCTGTCTTCCCAGGGTTCCCAATAACTGAAATGAAATCGTTCTAAATTACACCGACATCTGTTATTTTTGCTTACTCACCCCCATTAGCCCTTTAGGGAACAGATGCCTGTTTTTTCTTTGGGAAGCACCCCTCCCCAGGTTTAGCCCCTGCGCCCCATCCATCAGTGTGTTCCATCCCTCTGGACAGTAGTACTTGATGCAGGGCTGGGCCGGACAGGCCAGAGAGATGTGTCCTTCGGGCTTTTGTCCCAGTTATTGGGAAAGCGATGCACCTTTTTCTTTCTAGGATCTGCACCAAGGATGTGAGCCCAGGGCTGCCAGTAGGAAAACAGAAGAGAGATGGAGAGAGACCTGGTCTAAAGGCTTCTTTTGAGCTCCATGGCTTCTGGCCACGCCTGAACAGCATCGTAATCATGAACTTTTCTATTACGTCAGTGAATATATTTCCATTTTTGTCCAACTCAATTTGAGTTGAATTTCTTTCACAGCTGAATTCAGGTTGCTTACAACTTCATTCCCCATTAAATTAAAACAGTGTGTGGGTGGGGTGTGGAGTGAGAGAGAGCGCGCAGGCCCTCAGCCCTTGGCACTGGGCTTCGAGAAGGCAGTGTGCATGTAGGTTCCGCCTTGGCAAAGTCAAGCGCCCGGGCCTTGGTCTCCTCATCTGGCAGCTTGGACAGAATGATCCACAAGGCCTTTTCCAGCCCTGGACCCAGTCTGGGAAACTGCTACCACCACAGGGGTTCCAAAGGAGGGATGGCTGGTCCTGCCATCTACATGTGGTCTTTTCACATGGTTCAATGCCAACAAAACTGGCTATTTTATCATAGCTTGTGAAACAAAGGTGGTAAAGGAAAGTATTTCTATTTTGGGTTTTACTCATTATCATTTTCATTTCCAGCCCCCCAGACCCCATTTTCATCTCTCTGCCTCATAAGCTGGAGTTGGGAAGAAGCCACCGTCCATTCTGCCTCTGCTGCTACTCTTCCAGAGCAGCTCTGCCCCAGATCTGTGTGCATCTGAAATGCACGCGCAGTCTCCTTGGCACCTGGAGAGGATGAGCCTTGGTCGTGTGTTTACAAACCAGAATAAGACCACTGAATTGGAGTGAGGGGAGATGGAAACCGGGGACTGGGCAATGGTGTTTGTTACCTACGGTGCCACCGACTCCAAGCTCCTGACACGTTTTGTTTCAGGCCCAGGTGCGTCTACAGGGCCTAGTGCAGGAGGAGTGGTTTACCTGTGGGCAGGTGATTCTCAGGTCTCAAAGTAGGGTGGTAGCGGGTGCTCTCCCGAGATGCTAACACTTGACCTGGCATGTCAGCAGAGTCGGTGGAAACACAAATAAGGCAGCTAAAGGGGCTGTCTGGGACTGGTGAGTCGTCGGAGCTACCTGGGGCAAACAGGGTCTCCTTAAGCCGAGGTTTGGATGTCTGCATCGCTGCCGCCAGGCAGGAAAAGCTAGGCCTCCGGGGCACCCCGGGCACAGGCCTGCGCCCTAAGTGCGGCGGTGGCCCGGTGGAGCCCCTTGGAGCTCTGACAGGGAAGCGAGCCAGGGCATCGCGAAGGGCCAGGGTCCTGGGCACCGCACAGGGCGCGAGATTGGAAACGCGCCCGGGCTGGCTCACTGCGGACAGCGCCCTCCTTTCCCCTCTCTTGGGGGTCGGGGAACCTGACCCACCGCCCTCTCTCTCCGGCAGGGCACTCTCACCGCCGCCCCGGACGCTCCCCAGCCCCTCGGGCAGAGCTGCCCCGGCCCGCCTTGCCCTGGACTCCGAGCCGCGCCAAAGCCCACGGAGCCTAGATCCCCCGGACCCTCTCCCCGAGGCCGGCTGCACCGCCCATGGCTGCAGTCCCGCTGGCCTGGGATCGGGGGGCGGGGAGTTCCGGGAGCCGGGAGCTATTTTTACAAGATGCGTCAGTGGGCCGAGGAGGAAGAGCCTGCTCCGGGGCCCATTGTCTGGGCGCTGCGCGGGAGGGGACGCCGGCGGCGATTTCGAAAGCTCCGAAGGGCGCGAAAGCGGCGGGCCGTGAGGGGAGGTCCACGCCCCACCCAGGGCCGCGGGAGGGGCGGGGCCATTGGGGCGGGGCGGGGCCCGCGAGGGGCGGAGCCGGGCGCCGTCCCGCCGCTGCAGGCTGGCGGCGGCGGCGGCGGCGAGGGGACTGCGGGGACAGCGAGGCGGCCGCGCCGGCAGCAACAGCCGGGGAAGCCCACGCCCCGCCTGCGCCTCCGAGGCGCACCCCGGGAGCGGGAGCAGCCCCGCGGCGGCACCGCCCAGGCAGAGGCGAAGGCCTGGCACCCGGAGCCCCAAGCCGTCAGCCGCGGAGAGCCCGGGCAGCGGCGGGAGCGCGGGGGCGCGGCCCGAAAAGGCGCAGAGCGAGCCGGGGCCGGGGGAGGGCGCCGGGCGCGAGCATCTCGCGCCGCGGCAGCGGAGGCGGCTTCACGGGAGACAAAAGCCCGCCGAGAGAAGCGATGCCTGGCCGGCGCGGGCGCGGGGGCCGCGGCGTCTGAGCGCGCCGAGCCGTGCGCCCCGGGGACGCCGAGGGCGGCAGGCGGGGCCCAGGTGCGCCCAGCCGCGTCGGGCCCGTAACTGCTCGGGGGGCGGCGCCCTCCCGCCGCAGCCGCAGTGGCCGGCGCCGCAGCGAGGAGCCATGGGCAACATCTCTTCCAACATCTCGGCCTTCCAGTCCCTGCACATCGTCATGCTGGGTTTGGACTCGGCCGGCAAGACCACGGTGCTCTACCGGCTCAAGTTCAACGAGTTCGTGAACACGGTGCCCACCATCGGCTTCAACACGGAGAAGATCAAGCTGAGCAACGGCACGGCCAAGGGCATCAGCTGCCACTTCTGGGACGTGGGCGGCCAGGAGAAGCTGCGGCCGCTGTGGAAGTCGTACAGCCGCTGCACGGACGGCATCATCTACGTGGTGGACTCGGTGGACGTGGACCGGCTGGAGGAGGCCAAGACGGAGCTGCACAAGGTGACCAAGTTCGCCGAGAACCAGGGCACGCCGCTGCTCGTCATCGCCAACAAGCAGGACCTGCCCAAGTCGCTGCCCGTGGCCGAGATCGAGAAGCAGCTGGCGCTGCACGAGCTCATCCCGGCCACCACCTACCACGTCCAGCCGGCGTGCGCCATCATCGGCGAGGGCCTCACCGAGGGCATGGACAAGCTCTATGAGATGATCCTGAAACGCAGGAAGTCCCTCAAGCAGAAGAAGAAGCGGTAATGCGCGCGGCAGCGTTCCGAGTCGGTGGGGGACGAGCGAGCGAGTCAGGAATGAATGAATGAAAGGCTGGATGGCCGATGGAGAACCCGCGCCCGCGAACAAAGACAGCGAACCAAAGCGACGCTTCGACTTTTTAAAGCGGAATGCAGGACTAGTGACTCGACCTGGGTATGTAGGCAGACTTGCCAACCTGAGCTCGACCTGCCGTCACCCCTAGCTCAGGGGACCTTTTGTCTGAACGCCAGAGCTGCTGAAGGGTTGGGGGCCCCGCTGGGGAGTGGACGTGCAGGTCCCGCCGTATGCCCTCCTGGCCCAGGTTGGAAGGCTCAGATGTCAGAGACAAAAGCGATTTCTTCCTACTCCATCAGGGCCAGAAGTTCAGGCTTCCCTGCCCTCACTGGGGATCGCACCTGTGAATTTCCTGAGGTATGCGGTTCCCAGAACCCCGGGAGTACCCGTCTGGGGGCATGGTGGCAGTGGGAGGTGCTGGGGGGGACAGCCTCTCCTTGAGCTGTGAAAGCTGGACAATTTTATGTCACAGGGCAGGCCCCTGTGAAGATTCATCTGTCCTGCCCTGGGCCCAAACGACGTGCTGGTTTGGGCCATCAGAGGACTGCCTGGAACAGTAGGGCAGCCGGAAGGCACGGGGCGCTGCGCTGGCCTCCTCTGGGGAATGCCCGCGAAGAATGCCCCTTTCCTGGTGCTTTGTGGTAGCTTCAGAAGACCAGTTATGTTGAGAACTGCTTTTCAGCCTGGAATCAGACATCTTCCAGATGGTTTGGACTCTGTCCATGTGTAGGTCATTATCACACAAAGAGACCAATAAAAAAAAAATTAGAAAAAAACAAAACAAAAACAAAAAACTGTTGGAGGTGGTGGCCAATGATGCATTTTCTGTTTGCAGAATAGTTAAAGGTGTTTAAAGGGTAAGGCTCTCGACATCAGTGCTGGATGCGGTGTGTGTGTAGATGCAGGGACCTCCCTCTGCACTGTGTAATCGGCATACATTTCTAGCCCCATATGTGTGGAATCTTAAATTCTCTTAGCCTACTGTTTGGCCTGTGTGAGCACACCAGCTGCAGATGTGTGCTGAATGACAGGCGGGTTTTGGCAAGGGGTGTCTCTTGTCATCCTAACCGCTTGATGATGGGTTATGGTTTTCAGACTTTTTTTTTTTTTTTTTTTAATCTGCTACGAATGAATACTCACCTTAGAAATAACTCAGTTTAGGAAAAAAAGACTTTGCTTTGCCCTTTTAGATCCCTTTACGCTGCAAGTGGTGACATGTTCAGATTTCTAATTGGTTCATTGTGGCCTATCTGGTTTCAGTATTTTCATTACAGATGTCTCGCTGGAGTATTTGATGTCATGCACCAACAAATAAAAGCCCACCTTGTTGCAAAAGCCGACCTCATGGCATGGATTTAAAGGCGAGGGAAAAGCACAAGGAGGGCCTTCCTAATTCCTTCTTGTGGAAACTGGTTGCAGAGCAAATGCAGACACAGTGAGTGCTTGAGATAAAGGAAAGCCTGTGACGTAATGGTCACCTGTCCTCAGGCTCCTCACGTTTACTTGAAAGAGGCTTTGGAAACAGATCAAGTGAAAGAAGAAGAAATACCTATTTTTCATAATGTAATTTAAAAAATCCTTTATAATCAGGACTGAGTCTTGGTGCGCAGAAGCTGTCATTCACCCTGAAACACAGTATCAAACAGGAAACTTAACGCTTCCTGTGTGATTTTGATTTCCTCTTTGAATCCGTGTTTACAGGTGGAATTATGTTTTTTTCCCCCCACTATGATAAATTTCTTTGCGAAGGAGGCCTTTAGATATTGAGTATGATCATGTGTGTGAGCATGTGAGGTATTCAAGTTATAAATCCATGCCTATTTTCCACTGCACTCAGAAAGTTAATTTAAGAACCAGAGGTAGAAGTCCCGGCTTCCTGCTTGAAACCCAATTCTCCTATGAAATATTTTAAAAGAAGAAACCTAGCAGGCCATCTTCCTTTTCTCTTTTGTCCGTGTATTTGGTACCCCTCCAATGCTGGTCTTTTTGTAGAAACTCAATAGAGAAAATATAGCTGAGCAGTGTTGAAAAGCCTGCAAGATTTCAGTTTACATATCGACAGCATAGTCACTGATTTCTAAATGGGCTGGTCCCATCATCTGAAGATTCTGTATAGAATTATTAAAAAAAAAAAATCCATCTTTCTTTATTTTCTTCACATGCAACAATTTCTTAAGCACTTTGACATTTTGGTAGTTCCACACTATTGAGAGAATAATATATTTATTTTGTGACATTGCAGATGCCAAATACTGTAACCTTCTCGTGCTGACAATACTTTGGTTCAAGATCACTGTTCAGATCCTCTCATGCTTTACCAATGATGCGAAATGACTTTGTTTTTTGCATTATCAGTACTTAAGGGTGCAGTCAACTGTTAGTAATTGTGCAGTAGAGCTCTGTGGTGTAGCAACCAATAGTTGAGTCTCAGTTGATTTCTGTAGTGTTTGCCCAAATAATAGCCCATTTCGTCTCTGACCAAATGGAGGAAACACAGGCTAAATCACCTTGGAGTGGTCACCCGGAGAGTCCCCTCCAACGCAGCCGCTGATTTATTATGCCTCCTGCTCTTGGGAGAATGAATGGGCTCCACATATAGAGGAAGTTGGCCTCCCCACACGAGCTTTTGAAATGTTTTCTCACAGACACAGGGAGGCCAGTTTTGTTTCCGAACGATTCTCTTCACAAAATCTCTGTCATGGTGTTGGGACTATGTCTCCTGGTTTGTTTCCGTTTCTACTGCTGTAATTCTCTGTCCTGATCATCTTCCTCTTTGGGTTCCCGTTCCCTTTTATATGCATATATGATCCTGTGAACAGAAATAAATTATTTATACAATCAAACGTTTGGGGAAATTGTCTGTGGATGTTTTTTCAAGTTGCCTCTCTTTGTTTCTAGGCCTGAGTGGAGGGATGGATCGCAAGATGGTCTCTGCTGTCTGATGGGGTCCAGGGCTGGATGAATCATCTCTGCTTTTTTGGTTTAACTGAGAGGCTCGGATGCAGGAATCTGTGTGCCTGTCCCCCTTATGATACCTGTCAGGGGTCCTCACAAATCCTTGAGGAAAATGGCCTTAATGCCCAGCCAGCGCCAAGCCTCTCAGTTATTAAAGAAGGTCGTGATTGTTAGTCGCTTCAAATATATGATCTGATTATGTGAAATTGGAAACATCTGTGTGGTACTGTAAGCGCAGAGTAGTCACCACGCTGCTCAGCATCTTGACTGCTCTCTTGGTATCTGGGCTGAGTCCATCACTCTCGAACCCATCAGAGAGACCCCAAGACCTGAATCCTCTTAAACAGTAGGTATGGTGAGACCGTCCTGCTCTGTACATACCAGCGGGAAAAGGTCCACTTTCTAAAGAAAAAGTGATTGGGCCAGAATCGGTAGACCCTCTGACTGGTTCAAAGTGTAACTCATGGAGGCCCTTAGCAGACATTAAGCAACGAAACTCATTGATTGGCTGGGTCTTAACTCTGGAGCCAAAAAGCCAGTTTCAAATTCTGAGTCATGCTCACGGCCCCATGAGTTCGCTGAAGCTCCTCAGCCCCTGGACCTCGATTTCCCCATCTGTAAAATGGGCTCATAATGATTGTTGGGAGGATGAAACACAATAGTGCACGTGAAGTGCTTGTAAAGCACCCGAGCAAGGCTTGACTTTATGGTTCACTTTGCAACAGAAGCTAAAGTTTAGGAGCCAAGTGACATCAAAAGGGCACAGATGCCATTTCTAAATACCGAAACCTAAAAACTGCTTATAGGAGTAGAAATATTAGAAATCAAAAGAAGCAAAAATTGGAACTCTTTTTTTTTTTTTTGGTGCAACCTTAATTTAAGGAAGGAATCCCCAAGGAGCCAGGTAATACTTGGTACTTAGATGATATTGTTCATCTTATGTTTTCCAGGAAAGTAGGTACAAATGCACTGACGCCTAACAACTGAGAAGGCTGATTTTAGTCCTAAGCAACTGCCTTATTTTCCCCAATTTGAACTTCCCCCCAAAGTTTTGGTTCTTCATTTGTAAGTGTTTGCGATAGACAGTAGGTGTCTCGAGTTACTGTTTTCGTGCCTTTACATTTGTCTCCAGGGCCTGTGCTCTTGGAACAATTCTGTACCAACATCGTAGGCTATTTTGATGTCACATTTGTATGGTAGTAAGGAAGGACAAATTGTGTGCAAAAAGCAGAAGATAAAAGGCCTGAAATGATCAAAAAGGTAAGAACACCCCAGAACTTGATCCCCTTTGATTTCCCAGCTCTCAGCCTGTCCACCTAACCTCTCCCCTTTCCTCCTCTGCGGCCATGTGCACATCTGATGCCCACAATCTGGCCTTGGCCTGCCAGGAGACAAACTGAAGGCATTTCTGTTCTCTTCTCAAATTTGTGTCTTATCTGGAAAACGGCCTTCTCCTTCTGGTTCTCCTGGTTCAGCTGAAACCTTTTGTAAAATAGAATTTGCGCAAGACAATGGAGCACTTTATACATTTGTTTTGCATGGTTTCTGAACTTCAGGGTGGGGCAACTTCAGTCTCTAAGAGGAAACTGCAAACTGAGGGTATCTGAGAAACTGGCATGTGGCTTCTTCCCCAAGATTAGAAGTGAGAATGAAAGAGCTGTGTGGTTTAACCCCACCTAAGTTTTCAGAACATGGCTTGGGTGTTTCTTTGAATGATCTGAACTTCTATGCTGAGGTACTTTCATTGTGTGACAGCATGGCATGAAAGAAATAACCAAAACAAGTCATTTTTTAACCCATCTATAGCATGGGTTTGAGAAGACAAGCATCTCTTTTGCGTTTATGAATTAAAATGGCTCTCACATAGTAATGTTAAGGACAGCTCTGTTTCTATTCCCGTTAGTCCTGTGTAATCATGGTAATAGCCACTGCTAATCCTTATTGAGCACTTCATGTGGGCTGGGCACCATCCCCATGCTCAGTGTTTTATCTACGTGATCTTTTTTGCTCCCAAGAGCCCCAAGAGATCAATTCATGCATCAAATAAATTAATCACCGATATCTGCACTTGTAGATGAAGAAACTGAGGTGAATGAAGATTAGACACCCTCCTCCGAGGTCACTGGCTGTTTAGGGTGGAGCCCAGATTGAAGCCCACGGGTCCCTGAGACCCCGAGGCTGAGCGCTCGAAGGCTCCCCGGCCTGCTGCGCGTGGAGCAGAAGAAAGCTGGGACTCTGCATCCGGGGAGAAGAGGGTGGAGGCTGGTGTCACCGGCCGCAGCATCACCTGCCTGCACCCTCCTGACAGGGGGACCACCACTTCCCACCTCCTCCCCAGAACTCACACTGACAGGCCTGGCCCCAATGCCCGCACCTTGCCTTCCCTTCTCAGAGAACACAGCCCAGTGTCTAGAAAAACACTATCCCTCCTATGCCAGTTTCCATCCTCGAAGAATTTTCTTTCTGGTATTCCTTTCAAGAAACTGTGTTGGGGGAGAAACTGTGTTGAGGGCCACTGCCTTACGCAGGGAGGGGCATTTATATACCGCAGGGGACGGACCCTGGGGGTGGCGGGTATCAGTGTTCCCGCATTGGGATCTGAGTCAGCTAACCTCTCAGCCTAGATCCCCACCCCTGCCGCCGCTACCCTGTGCGCCGAGGATGCCTGCCCTGCCCGTCCCTCAGGGTGATTCCAAAGATAACATGAGGTAATAGAAAGCACTGTCCAACCTGCAAGGCGAGTTGAGACACTTGTAAACGTGTGTTCCCCTTCTCTCTGCGCCGCTGCCCTGGCTCCCAGGGGTGTTCTGCTCGTGCCGTTCTGGACAAGCCCGGTATCACGGACACCCTCTTCTTTACCACTGATAAGAGAACTTCCACCTCACAGAGTCAACCAAAGGAGACTTCAGGAAGGAAAACATCTCTCCCTGGGAGATTCAGGGCATAGAGCCTTTAGTGTAAGCTTTTATCAAGTGACTGTTGATAAGCCTCCTTACATCTGCTGTTGGCAGAATTGTCATCATTCTACTGGCTATACTCCGATTATATTCATTTCCTGAAATGCTAACTCCCTGTGCAATTACTCTCAATGCCCACGTCTCATAAAAGCTAAAATAATTTCAAGGTATAATTGAAAAGTCATCACGGTAAGTAACGACAATTGGAACAGCGTATTCCGTAGGTATACGTGTGGATCCAGAGATGAACTGTTGCGTTGCTGTATAATTTGAAGGGCACTGTGATGCCACATTCACCATGTAAAGAATGCTGTTAAAACAATATCTACCAACAGTTGTGACCTCCGTCGTACTGAGGACACTCCACTCCGGGGCACTCGGGGAGATGTATGACATGGTTCTTGTTCTCAGAAGCCTGATATTCTAGCTGGTGCATGAGGGCTGAACTATCAAGTGAGGTGTTTGACTCCAACGTGAAACCAAAGTCATTGCTCCAACCGTGGTCACATTTTTCATGCCACATGAGCCTTGGAGCAAAACTAGAAATAAGAACCTGTTACTCTGTGTCCTGATTCACATAATTTGAAGACGTCCGTTTCTCCATCAGTCTCCTTCTCCAACTCTTTCTGAGATTCCCTGGGGGGAGGTCCCTGTGCTCATGACCGCTGCTTCCCCCACTTCCTTCTTTCCTGCCCCGACCTCTTGTGTGTTTCATAGACCTTCCGGCAGTGAGAATCAGCATGGCAGCCAGAACCGCTGGTCCGCAGCGCTGCTGACCCTACTTGTGTCGCCCCAGTCTCAGTTTCCAACAGACATTTCAGTGCACGCTTCCTTAGGGAGGGTCTCCTCGCACGTGTAAGGGACTCAGATGTCTGAGAGGCTGGGGACTATCTGAGTGGCCGGCCCAGGCCCGTCCTAGAATCCTGCTTCTTGTCTGACACTGACTGTTTCCATGAGCCTCTCTTGGGTGTCTCAGCCCTCTAGTCTCATGCGTGGGGCTCCTCCCAGGAGACACCTCAACTGACTAGAAATCCTGGGACGAATGTGAATCCTAGTGTGGACCCCCAGGACCCTAAAGGCAGATGTGTGATCTGTCTTGGATTCAGGTTTCTCCCCTAAAATTGGAATTTCCTGCAGAGGTATTGATAATGACCGCTTCTTCCTGAAACCCACTCTAAGTCTTAATTCTGCTCTTCCGGCGTCTGTTTGAGTAGCCGGGATGATGAGATCAGAGGTTGAAGCGTTTGCTTTAAGGTAAAGGTTTCTGAAGCCGACACTGTGGGTAACCCATGCACACCCATGCCTTTTTTTTTTTTTTTTTACTTTATTTATTTTTGGGTCTTTGTTGCTGCATGAGGGCCTTCTCTAGTTGTGGCGAGCGGGGGCTACTCTTCGTTGCGGTGCGCCAGCTTCTCAGTGTGGTGGCTTCTCCTGTTGTGGAGCACGGGCTCTAGGCTCATGGGCTTCAATAGTTGTGGCGCACGGACTTAGTTGCTCTGCGGCATGTGGGATCTTCCTGGACCAGGGATCGAACCCATGTCCCCTGCATCGGCAGGCGGATTCTTAACCACTGCGCCACCAGGGAAGCCCCCATGCCTCTGTCTTCTTTCTTGCTGGCAGACCTCAATTTTGCTTGGGAGACATCCTCTGCCTCATGGCTATGTGCTCAGGGAAAGTGACCCTGTACCAAGTTTAAGGGGAGATTGGTCTGAACCATGAATTTAATTCATTCTTCTGGCCAGTGACGGGCTTAGGAAGGGTCATGTGACATGATTCTGACCAATGAGACTAGAGGAAAAGTCTTTTTGGAGAGGATTAAGTGGATGGACTTTAGGAATTTTTCCTTAGGTTTTAAAGCTAGACACAGGCACTGTGTAGCTCTCCTTTGCTTCCTCTGAATTTCAGCGAATAAAGATGTGATGCCTGGAGTGGCTGCAGCCATCTTGACACCATGAGGAGAGCCAGCCCACACACTGAAGATGTGTGGGAGAAGGGAAATAGGCAAGGAACCTGAGTCTTAGATGATGTCATTGAACTGCTGAAATAACCAACCCTGGGACTGCCCAACCTCAGGACTTGTGGTATGTAGACAAACACATCACCCGTTACTTGAGATTTCAACTACCTGCAGCTACAAATCCTCAACTGATAAGATCCATCAGACACCATAACCAGTCCTTGATGGTACAAAATATCTAGGGCACTCCACAAGAGCTGCTGTGTTACAGAAACTGCTCCACCACCTCTGT